TGCCTTCCACCTTTCAGAGCACTTCTTGGAAAATTCTGCAAAATTTACAGGGACCTCTGGGTTTTTCTTCTTATGTTCTTCTCTGCATGTCTGCACAAAGAAGGCATAGGCAGACATCTTGCCCTTTGGTTTCTTGGGGTCACCTTTAGCCATCTTGACTGTATTGTTCGCTAGTCTCTGTACCACTATTTTTAAAACATAGTGATTGCTTTCAATGTCTGAGGAAATTTTAGGAATAGATATCTGATTTGTATTTTTTCACATAATCTTAACCCCTAAAAGTTGTACTTTAACTGTTTTGCATTTTTCTGAAAATGTTTTTCCAAGAAGCGTGATGTGTATATTTATATAATGATATCCATTGTGCTTGTATGAGATATTGAGACTAAGGCTTTCAAAGGAGAAAGACCATGTCAGTGAGTCCTTCTCTAGGAGTTTTAAAGTATCATAAACCTGACTTTGAACTGGAAGCATTCAGATCCTAAAGAACTTAAAGAAAAAACAAGTTTAAAAGGATGCAACATTCTAGTTGTTATTGTCTGGTCTGTTATTTGCAGAAAACTAAGAATTCATCAAATACAAAGAGTATTATGTGGAAATATTTAACAAAGTAAGTCTTTGAAAGATCTTAGAAAATTATTTGTAGATTCATGTTAATTACATGCACACCCCAACAATTAAAAAAAAATTTTTTTTAATTACTTGCACGTAAAATTGTTATTCAGTAGTAAGCTTTTTCATACCCAAACGTAGAACATGCCGTGGCACTGAGTGTAATATCATCTACAGTCTAGCTAAGGAGACAAACCAGCTACATTAAAAGGTGTTATTTAATGATAAAAAGCAATACAGATTAGCATATGTGAAATGCAGAACACATACTCTGAGTAGTTTCCAAACTTGGGCTACACTGCATAATCATCTAGATAAGTTTTTTAATTACAGATTCCCAAATATCACATGAGTTCATTGACTTAGATATTCTATGCCTTAAAATCTATAATTTTTTAAAAAGAAATTTATCCTCGCAGTTCTGAAGTAAAGACTCAGCGTGTGGATATACTGAATTTTTATAATGAGATGAGGTGTATATTGACCAGTGTGATGTAAACGCTCCTAATTCTATATGAAATCAGCACATCGTACTCCATATATGCGTTCATGTATCCATGATCTATGTGCTTATAATTTAATTAAAAAAATAAAATAAATGTGGATAGGTAGTTGGGGTGATGTGGAAGACTTCGGGGAGGCGGTAGGTTTGAGATGTGTCTGAAAAGAGGTGATGTGTTTTGTAAAGGAGCCATATAGGAGCACAGTTGTAGAAGGAGGAATAGAAATTGTGTGGAAATGATTAATTTGTAAAAAAGCAAATGATGTTCAATAAGGTTACAAAGGTAAGTAATTCTTAGCCTGGATATAACTGTGTGCTAGGCTTCATCTTGTAGGTGATGGTGAACTCAGTAACCAAAGATTTTGTCCAAAGAGAATATATAACGAAATAAATTTTGAAAAAGATCCATATTCAGTGAATGTGTGGCATTCATTAAAAGGCTGAAGACTAGAGCCTAATCCAACAATAGTAGATTAGACTTGAGGTGAAAAGGGTTTATGCAGAAAGCTTCTTGTGCGAATTATAAGAAAAGATGGGAGCCAACGATGATGATGAAGGAACAACTGAAAGCAAAGAGTACATCTTAATAACGACTTGGTAAACTACAGGGAAAAACCAAAACGTTAATAATCATATATCTGCATATTTAAAAGGTGACTATCAGAAAGTACCAATTTTTTTTACACCAAGATCTTTACCAAAATATGGCTAACTCTTTTTATATAAAAAATATACCCTAAGAAATAAATCATCATTTTCAGAAAAAAAAATACACTTCCTTTCTTACATATAATTTGGATACCATTAATTATATTTTTTCACTCAAATTAACATTAGGCATTTATATCACTAATTAAATCTAGTGCTATACATATATACATATAAAACCAAGAGATTTCTCTAATAAAAGACTTTGTATTTGAAATATGTTCTTCTTTGCAAAATATCTTAAAAATGAACACAAACAAACATATAGGTGAAATGCAAGGAAATAATTAAAAGTACATTTTATTAGAAGTACAGATTATTAAATATTTCTACTATGGTAATACTGATATCATGTAATCTTTCAAGAAATAGCAGTTATTTCAATAACATACCAGGTTAATGACCCTTCTTGATATTGTTGATAAACATGTTAAGGGCAGAGCAAATAAAATGGATTAGGACATTGAAAGATTGTGACAGTGCTCCAGCTCTGACGTCCGGGTCCAGCTTGCACTCACTATTGAATGCTGATGAGTAGATTAAATAATCATGAGTCAATTATTTGTTGTAAACTATGTATTAGACATCTGAAAACAGCCTGAGCATCACTGGTGTCCTTCACTCCATTTCTCTTCATGTCGTACTCTCCAACCTTCTCTATCCTTCTTTATTCCCCTAAGTCCTTCATTGTTGAAAACCGTGCAGCCAGAGGTTCTTAACATGATGCCCAAGTTCAGAGCATCATGACCTATGCTTTGCATTGACTGTGGATGTTGTGCCTCATGTTTAATTTTCAGAACTATGCGGAGAAAGAGGATCACAGCCTAGAGAAAGGAAACAGCAGAAAGAACTTTTAACACACTTCGTATCTCTTCCAGTGCTCAATCACCTGTGGCAAAGGAATGCAATCCCGAGTTATCCAGTGCATGCATAAGATCACAGGAAGACATGGGAATGAATGCTTTTCTTCAGAAAAGCCTGCAGCGTACAGGCCGTGCCACCTTCAGCCCTGCAATGAGAAGATTAATGTAAACACTATAACGTCACCGAGACTGGGTAAGCAGACCACAATCAGGACGTTTTCAAGAAACCTGTCAATGCTGATGGCTTCTTCCATTTTGCTTATCACTAGACTTTGGGAATTGTAAGCCAATGCTGATTATTTTGGTTCTGACTAAATGGAATCTACTTAAATATTGTTTTGTCCAAAGGGTCAAGTAGGCAAAACATTCTAAAGACTAAACTGCTTTGATTCCTGAAAGTGTCTCTCTACTCAGAGCCAAGTCTAAGAAATACTAAGGCCACACCAGCCAACCTCACCTTAGAAAGGCTTTCAGAATGTAACAAACACAGTAGAACCTCCATAGTTGACCACCCCACACTGACCTCCACCTTACATTGACCTAATTTTCCTAGACCCGACATGTGCCACCTGTACATATCAGTAAGTGGACCTAGTTCCTTATGTTGGCCGGCTTTGTATGCTAACTATTTTGTTACAGTCCTTTGGGTGATCAACTTACAGAGGCTCTACTGTATTAGGCTTGGACTAGTCCCATGGCAGAACTATCAATTAAGTTAATGTCTGTGGCAAGGTGAGAGTCTACTATAAGCCTTAGATCTCTCCATGGTTAATAGCCTCCCTTGTGATTCTAAGTGCAAATTATTCTTTAGAAAGACATAGAGTGAAAAATGGCCCCCAGGAAGAATGGATTCATTTATCTACATCACTGAACAAGTGGTACCATGTTTTTGTCACTTTTGAGGACATAATTTTAACTAAAAACTACATGCTAATAATATATTGATATTTTTATAGTCACTGTTATTAAATACTTTCCTATGCATTATCAATTTCGGTCATTTCATCTAATCCATAATCAAGAAATAGAGTATGTATTGTAAGTAGATATAGCCTGCCCTTGTATAACCAATACTAATGAATGACTTAGCCCAGTCATTCTCAAACTACGGGCCACAGGCCACATGCAGCCCACCCAGGACATTTATCCAGCCCGCTGGGTGTTTTTGCTGCTGCTGCCTGTCCTGCTTAGCAGCTGACTCATCCCGGGGCCCGCAGTCCAGCCCTCCAACAGTCTGAGGGACAGTGAACTGGCCCCCTGTTTAAAAAGTTTGAGGACCCCTGTATCCTATCTGTGGTAATTAGTGACTTTTAACAGGATTCCTACCTGACTATCAGTTGGTTAATTTACCTATCAGTTTCACCCATAAAATCTAAGGGGAACAATTTGAATCACCAGAATGATATTACCAAAATATGAGGAGCTACACTGTCGTATGTATTTTTGCCAGGCATAAGATTCAATCAAATGGACAGTTTAGGTTCTTCATGGAAATATAAAGATTCTATTTTATAATATAAATAATTAACATTTCTAAGAAAGGATCCATCCAAGTAGGATAAGACTAATTGAGACAAAAATTTAGGCAACCCTAGAGCAGATGCACGACATCCAATACTCAATAATAGCAGAATCTCTATCTCCAATAATCACTTGGAGTCCTTGAACTATTCTGTGTGAGAAAATAATGAATTAAAAGAATCATTTTGTTAAAATCGTGTTTTCTCTATTTTTCCTTGAAAAGGTACCCCAGCCTACAGTCCCAGCTACTTAGGAGGCTGAGGCAAGAAAATTGCTTAAACCCAGAAGTCTGAGGTTGCTGTGAGCTGTGATGCCACGGCACTCTACTGAGGGCGACAACTTGAAACTCTGCCTCAAAAAAAAAAAAAGAAAAGGTACCCCAAACACAGAAACACAGTGTTTGGAATATCTAAGGTATTTTCAAGTAAAATCATGATGACACATTCTAATGGGAAAAAGAAAGAATGGTTGCAGGACTAACTTCCACTGTGTGTGCCAGAGCACACTGTTTCTTCAGAAACACTGAGGCCAAATCTACGTGAACAGATTTTGGATGCTAATTCCTCATTTCAAACATTTTATTAGGATAAATTTCAACAATCAGGTTTGAAATTTACCAGGTTACAGAAGCTGGAAATTCCTGTCTCCTGATATTACACCTGTGTGTTCCTGCTGGCTGGGAAATTAGGAATGAGAAATAAATACAAGAATATTTTCACTTGGCTGTTTCTTTGCAATTTCACTCATAACAACACTACTAATTGATTTTTACCCCCATAAAGGATAGGAAACATATTTCTTTTTGTTTTTAATCTTCTCTACTTTAACCCAAAAGAACCTTACATGAAAATCACAACATCAAAACTTAAAAGTAAAATACATTGAATTTGGGAATTCTGGTTTCAATAATCTTAAAAACACTTATAAGTAAGAACGTCATTCATTCACTTTACCTTTTCATTGTAGAGCGTGTATGTGTGTGTGTGTGTGTGTGTGTGTGTGTGTGTAGAATATCTCCTTGTCTTTTAAGTTCCAGAAAGTGTTATAAATGAGTCGTAGATGTTGTTTCTCCTAACAACAGCTGTGATACCTGCATGTATTAAATTCACTACCTTCTGTTTCACAGCTGCTCTGACATTCAAGTGCCTGGGAGATCAGTGGCCGGTATACTGCCGCGTGATCCGTGAAAAGAACCTGTGTCAGGACATGCGGTGGTATCAGCGCTGCTGTGAGACCTGCAGGGACTTCTACGCCCAAAAGCTGCAGCAGAAAAGTTGACCTCTAGCAGACTGGCTGGCTCATGGCTCTTTGCAATTCCTTTATTTATAAACACACACACACTAGCATGTTTTTCAGACCAAATGTTATCAGATGACATATAATTTAATCAGATTAATTTATTTTTTTTCTGTGCCTGCCAAACATCCAATGTGGTGCTTATTTTGATTATACAAACATCTTCGATTTATATTCTATGGCTTCATGAATAATTTTATATAAGTTGAATCCAATAACTTAATTAAAAGAGAAAGAAAAAAAAAAAAGACCGTTAGACTTAAAACGACTTTTTTATTGTTAGGGCTGTCTCTAAGGTGCTACTTTCTGTCCACGAAGACCATCGAGTTATCCAGGATGTGTACTAACGTAGCGTAATAGCTTAGTTATATGTGGAGAGAAATTATTTTGGGGTTTTTTCGGTGTCCTGCTGCAGAATTAGCCCATTTTCTGTAATCTGCAGGAGATGTGTAAACATAACGAACCTCATAGTGTTGGACAGGTTTTTAGAGAATGTATTATGAATTTGGTTCCGATTTAGAAACACTCATAGGAAAAATTCTGCTGTAATGATAACCTTATTTTAATAATGAAAAAGAAAAGTCAAAATAGAGACTTTGATCATGTTCATGAACATGCACTTGAACACAAGTATTGTAACAATGAAACACTGTAATGATTTACACTGAATCACCATTGCACTGTTGATATAGTGTAGAGAAATTGTTAGAAATGATAACATCTTAACAAAAGTGTGTATTATTTTAACATGTTGTTATTAGCTTTTAGCGTTTTTAAGTATTTTGAACAAAGAAAGCATTGATCCACCCATTCCCTTGTATCTTTTTAGTAGATTTGTGGAAGAGAATAGCACTTAGCCTCACAAATTAAAATGAGAAAATGTACTGACTATTCTTCAGCCTTTTCCCCGGAACAAGGAAAAATCAAAAAGCGTATAACACTGGGGGAGTTTCATTGTGTTATTTTTTTCCTTTTACAAATTTAAAAGTTTTGCAATTCTGTGAAACGTTCAAAAGCCAGCTTAAAATTTTTCTTGTGAGAAAATACTGTACATGATTCACATGATTTCTTAGATTTTTTTCAATAAAATATGTGAAACTTGCTGTGGAGAGGTAATCCTTACTAGACTGCTCATGTTTCCGCGTGTCTGCCAAGCAAAGGTGCTGAGCGGTGTTGTTCTGAAGCATCTTCTAAAGGATGTTTGTGCAGAGAACTGCCTTGCAAGGTAGAAATAGTGCATCTGCCTTGGAGCAGATGGCAAACATGCTTGTCATTATAAAAAGGTTCAGGGTCCCTATAATTGGGGTTTCTGTCTTATAATACAATGCAATGCATGTCACCTGGCTCTCTTCATGACACCCTGTGGGAATTTGGGCTCAAAGAACCAGTGCAGGATAATGCTGATTCCCTGGCTACTCCTGTTATTGTGAGTCATAAAGTCTCTAACCCAGAGGTCTCATGTTTTCTGCCCCCCAAATGCGGTAAGTTAACCTGATAGGTTGCAAGTAGAGAAAACTCCAAAACCTTTATTATAGCTCTTTATACTTCCTTCATTAATACTTTTCACCTTCATTTTAATAAGCTTTTTCTTATAATTTTGGGAGTGTTTTGTTTCTAGATTGTCTCTTACTATGTAAGTGCTTATTTAACTGCTGAGACCAAAGATTAACCAATATCAACAAATCAAATGTAAGCTAGGAGGTGAATGGAGAAGGGAAAATTGAAATAGTAAGGGGAGGCCCTCCCAGTTCTATCCCTTGAATCTAGGTAGACATATTAAGAGCATAATATATTGGGTGATGATGCAGAACATTTACATCAGAGGTTATTATTTCCGCCTTCCAAAGTGTTTTGACCCAGCTGGTGCCAGATTAAATCTATTTTATAAAGGCACTGTATCCTTTTCTTAGGCCATCTGCTTTAGGGGCACAGGGAGCACCGTAATAGTAGCAATTGACACAAGCAGGAGCCCATTGCCATGTTTTATTTGCTGCTAAACAAGTTCCCTGAACAGAAACAGTATTATATGGAATAACACGACTGAGACACTCATTAAGGACACAGATGGTATTTTGGCAGGAGTTCTGGTGGCTGGGAAGGCAAACCCATTTTCAGAATGAGTGACTGTTTCTGGGAGAACAAGATGCTGCCTCCTTTGCGATAGAAGCATTCTAACGTACTCAACCCGGGGTCAAGGTTGTGGGCTGGTCCTCTCATGTAATGATACCGTATTGAGAACACAGCCTCTTCTCTGCTACTGTGAGGTTGAGCCCTCAGCAGTGACTGGCTAGATTTGCCTTGGTGAGTAGAAGTCCGAGCTCAAGCATACTCTCCACTCTGCCACCATCGTCTTTTTGTCCTTTAGTTCATTGGTCAAGGAAAAATCGACATTCACAGAATGTGTAATCGTGTCCACCTGATGAGGACTCCTTTCCCCTGAGGGTGCTCTTTGGTTGATAGTCTAGTGGAGTGTAAGTTCATAAGCAATTCAAGGAAGACTGTTCACACACTTTTTGTCAGAACTTCCTTGTCACCAGTTTTCAAGTCATGTTTCTTCCAAGTTCCTACTAATCCAGCCAAACCGTTGGACCCAGCCCCTGAATTAGTGCTTTTCTGTACCTCTGGCCATTTTTATCTTCTAGGCAAAACGAACAGCTAGATCCACGACTTGGATTCTTTCTGAGAAGACTTTCCTTGCTAATCTCATTCAGGGTCGTGCCTGTGTGGTTGGAGAGCTGCAGCTATCCATTCTTGGTTGTGCCAGTATGTTGTGAAGAACCATTAACCAACCAGGCCCAAATGTTCTTTTTTTTTTAATCTCAGCCAACTAGTTATAAGGAGTGCTCTATGAGAATTTAGATACGAGCTGATAGAGAGGAGACGAGGCAGCAGCAGGACCCTGAGTGATCAGAGCCAACTGCTCAGGGATGTTATTTACAGCTTCAGAAGGTGATCGTGACTAACGTTGTCCAGTCGGTGACGGAGTGATGCTCTGCCTGGGTGAGGGACGTCTGTGCACAGGTTTGGGGGATCAGATATCACCCAGTTTCTAATGGGTAGTCCAGATTGCCTTGGAATTTGGTGACTTGTGGTCAAGCATTAAGCCTTTACATAGCAAACCATAATTTTTTCTCAAAACAAAAATAATTATTTGTAGAGAACTATACAGTACAGCTTTGCTCCAAAATGCTAAAAAACTTTTATGATTCACCAGTAGGCACCTGCCAGAAGTTCTAATACAGGACCCTTATCTGCCACCAGTTCTTCAAACACCATGATACCTGGTATAGCCAGCGGTTCTCAACCCGTGGGTCACGACCCACAGGAACCGTATTAAAGGCTCGTGGCATTAGGAAGGTCGAGAACCACTGTGTACTACATAGCACAGACCACAGGGCAGCTTGTCTTGCAGCCTGGACTGATTATAGACTCACCTCTTATTCTCTGCACTACACGGAACTGGAAATCTTTGGGGTTACAAGGCAATAAATTGCAGGCTAGCATTCCCCAATTAGGTATATATTGCAACAGCAGCCCCACTGGGCTTTGTGTCTCTTTCATCGGAAGGGCTAGAGGTAGGAACTTGTCCCTCACTTAGATATCTCAACACACCACTGGGTTTCTGGAAATTTTATCAAGGTGTGAGGTCCCTAAAGTTTTCAGGGATTTAATTCACATCTACTAGATATAAAATGTATCTTATTAAGATGTCTGTGAAGTATAATTAGCTACTGCCTCTTGTTGTGGGTCCAACCAACATAGTTAACACTGATGTTTTCACCAGTATAATCTGCTGTGCAATATAAAGAAAAACTATAAAACACTGATTTTAAAAAAAATTACAAGGCTGGGGACAGTGACTCATGCCTGTAATCTCAGCACTCTGGGAGACCTAGGTGGGTAGATTGCCTGAACTCATGAGTTCAAGACCAGCCTGAGCATGAGTGAGACTCTGTCTCAAAAAATAGCTGGGTATTGTGGCAGGCACCTTTAGTCTCAGCTTCTTGGGAGGCTGAGGCAAGAGAATTGCTTAAGCCCAAGAGCCTGAGGTTACTGTACACTATGATGCCATGGCACTCAACCAGGGGTTACAAATTAAGACTCTGTCTGAAAAAAAAAATTAAAAAGACACCAAAACATAGAAAGACATTTCAGGTTCAAGGACTGGAAAAATTAATATTGTCAACATGGCCATGCTACCTAAAGCAACCTATGTAATCCCTATCAAAATACTAATCATGAATAAAGTACTGTCAATTTAGGCAACACGGATAAGCCCTGAAGACATTATGCTAGATGAAATAAGCCAGCAACAGACTATTAAACACCACACACCACATGTTGTCACTTACACGCAGAAGCTAGAAGTTGATCACATAGAAGTAAGCAGTAACCCAGAGGTTATTAGAGGCTAGGAAGGGTAAAGGAAAAGAAGGGAGTAGGGAGAGATTTGTTCAAGGACACAAAATTATACCTAGAGAGGAATAAGTTCTGGTGTTACATAGCACTGTAGGCTGAGAATAGTGCTGAATACATATTCTCCAATAGCTAGAAGGGAGGATATCAAATATTAACAGCAAGAATTATAAATGTTTGAAACAAGTGGATTACTAAATACCCTGATCTATCACTATTACTGTATATATTGAAACATCACTATGTACCCTACAAAAATATATTATAACTATTAGGTGTAAATTTAAAAATTAAGAATTGTTTTAAAGCATTTTATTTCAGGGAAGTTATGGAAGTTTCTGGTTCCCAACTTAGAGTTTGAGCTGTGAATTGAATTTAAATCCCAGATCATTCTCTAAGTTCTTCAGCACATTTAGAAGCAATGAGTCAACAACATGGTCATTATTCTCTTGGTTTCTGTGGACGTGTTCTAATAGAGGAGATACTTGCCTTCTGGAGGAGGCTCTTTACTGCAGGTGACTACAGGTAAGAATTTGACTGTTTGGTCACTGCTTGCCATGGATGGT